TCTTACTACAGCCATAAGTAAATTTATCTTTTCAATTGAAAAAAGCCGCTTTTAAAAATGCCTCCTGGCCAGGCACAGTAACTCACACCTATAATCCCAGCACTTTGGGAGGCCAAGGTGGGCAGATCACCTGAGGTCAGGAATTTGAGACTAGCCTGGCCGGCATGGTGAAACCCTGTCTCTACTAAAAATACAAAAAAAAAAAAAAAAAATTAGCCCGGTGTGGTGGCGGACCCCTGTAATCCCAGCTATTCAGGAGGCTGAGGCAGGAGGACCGCTTGAGCCTGGTGGGGCGGAGCTTGCAGTGAGCTGAGACTGCGCCACTGCACTCCAGCCTGGGCACAGAGCAAGACTCCATCTCAAAAAAAAAAAAAGCAGAGACTTTCATCTGCTCTTGGAGTGAAGTCTTGTTGTTTACATTTTATCATTCATATGATACAAAACAGTTTTTGTTTTCATTAAATATGAGGAAGTGTCCCATTCAGGGAATTCTGCAAATGATAAAGACTGAAAGAATGTCTCCTTCCTCCCCAAATCTGTAAACACACAGTGATACAGTTGATACAAATGGCATTTGGTGACCACAGCTGGAGTAAGTTCAGGTGGATGCCATAATGGGCTCCATTTTCTCCTGCTAGCCAGGGGTATGGGCCACACATGCCAGGCCTTAGGCTGGTTTCAAGGAAGGCTTTGGAGACAATGACTGAGCCCACTGCCATCAGGTGGTGGCAAGTGGTGGTGGGCAGTGAGGAGGAACTTCTACAGTGCCCCCTAGAGGTAGGGGACACAAATGTCAGGAAAGGAGAGGGGATCTGACCTGTTGAATCAGGTTGCACCTGAGGATGCTGAATCCAGGGAAAACGGAAATAAAAGAGTAACACAGGCAACAATATACTGTATGTGCACACCAGAGACACCAGAGGTCCCCTTTCTTGATTTGATATATTTTTGGTAACAGTAACACTCAACTGTGCACACATGCACACACACACACACACACACACACACACACCCCCGTGACATAGTTGATGCAAACAGCAAACATTTATATGTGTATAAGATGGGGTTGGAAAGAGATTAACTAGACAAGAATCCCATAAGCTGTTACATAAAAATTTAAAACAGAGTGAATATCTCAATATGGGAATGGTTGAGAATTTGAGATATATCCTAATCACAGAATATTATGCAGTTGTTAAGAAAAATTAAATAAGTTTTTAGGGTTAACTCAAGGGATTTTTACTACGTATTGTTAAATGAGGAGAGAGAAGGGCATAGAATATTCCATTTGTTAAATCCTGTGTGTGTATTAAAAGGTGCTGAACACATCAGTGTGAACAATGTTAAGGAGAAACAGGGAGGGAAGAGAATGATAGAAAACAAACAAAAGTGACTATTAAAAGTAACAGGTTATTTAAAAAGTGAGAATTCGCCGGGCATGGTGGCTCATGCCTGTAATCCCAGCACTTTGGGAGGCCAAGGCGGGCGGATCACCTGAGGTCAGGAGTTCGAGACCAGCCTGACCAACATGGAGAAACCCTGTCTCTACTAAAAATACAAAATTGGCCGGGTGTGGTGGCACATGCCTGTAATCCCAGCTACTAGGGAGGCTGAGGCAGGAGATTCGCTTGAGCCTGGGAGGTGGAGGTTGCGGTGAGCCGAGATCGTGCCATTGCACTCCAGCCTGGGCAACAAGAGCAAAACTCTGTCTCAAAAAAAAAAAAAAAAAAAAGTGAGAATTCTATTAAATTATGTACATGTATATAAATGACTACCAAAATGCTGGAGGTGTTATCTGAGGGTGAAACCATTGCAGGTGATTTTTATATTCTTTCTTATACTTTTCAGCATTTTAACAGGAAGTATAATTAGTCTATAATCAGAAATTACTATTTTCATTGAGGGAAAAAAATTGAATGATTCAATAACACTGGGAGCATGGAAAATGTTTCTGAAGTCTTCCTAGCCAAAACAGGGCACACAGAAAAACTGTGCACATTTATGACTCAAAGAGGTTTTCACAATCTTCTTCAAAATGGAGACAGACCACAAAGTCCAAAATTAATAATCATCCAAATACTTTAAGCACCTTGAAGACAGGGCCTAAATCTAATTTTTAACAGTTTCCTAATAGCTTAGAGTGCTCTGAGTGCTCAATCCTCATTAACTGACAAGCACATTTCAAATCCTATGAATTATTACATCAAAGATGCCATTATTTGACATATAAATGCTATTAAAGATAAAATCTCATCTAAAAAAGAGTATCCAAGCCAGAGCAGCTCCAGTGAAAATAATTTAACTATGAAATTTAATCTGCTACAACGTAAGCAATAAAACCCTAACACATAACAAAACTGGTCTACCTGCTCTGTTTATATTCAGTGCATCCAGTTTTGTTCCCTGCATTCCTACAGTCTCGGGGCTGCCTGGTATCTACATACCCACCTCAATGACTGTCCACTCAATCCCATTACCTTCGGTTTCTTACTGAAGATACAAGAGTAATGACATTAGCTACCAATCATCATAAATCATCTCTGGGCCAGGCCTATCTTCAACACTAAACAGTCTGCTAAAATTTGACTCCAACATGCAATTGTTTTGCAGAGAGGTACAACTTTTCCCTTCTTCCAGGCCTGCTTTCTCTGCAGGGCAGTGAAAGTGCATACTGTGTGGAGAGCTGCTCTGGTAATAGCCATGGAATAGCCCGTCCAGGACAACAGGCACCAGGTCCTCATGGGGTGGAGGTGGGCTGTGGCTGCTGCCCTTGGAGGCCGGGCACCCACACCTGGCTAAAGGGGCCTCTTGCATGCCATTCTTTTAAAACTGGCATTAGGCAATGTGAAAACTAATTTTACACGTCTAATCTTTTCAAGTAAAATACTTACCTGGACTAGCAAGTGGCCCGAATTAGGCAAACATGTACCACATTTCTCGGTGTTCTCATTTATTTGGTTTATCAAATTTATCAGTATTTCCACAGCACCTTTGCTGATCATTTCATTAAGAAATCCTGGATTTCCAGAAATGAACTTTATAGACCCCATACAGTATAAAAAAGCTTCCATGTTAGTTTCCAGGTCTTCACTTCTTAGTACCTCCAACAATGATTCTGTCAAAGAGACGAATTATTATAAATGTCTGAGTATAACAGCGGGAGATAAATATATTAAATAAGTTGTGTGTGAACATAAAATACACTTTGTAAAATATATTTACCAAAATCTACATTCAAGTGCTTGTTAAGAGTTATATCGTATGAAGAGAAAAGCTTACTTTTAGTTAAGACAAATCTCTGTAATAGTAATTTCAGCAAAAGGATGGGATTATTAATAAATAAGAGAAAGTATTATTTTAATTAATGTCATTCCTTGCCTCTTACTAATGATTTATTGGCCTTTATTTTTTGTTACAAAAATTTTGAGTCATAGAATACTAATAATTTAACAAATTTAAGAGTTAAATTTCAATAAGTCTTTAAGAATATATTTGTTTCTGTATTATTAGTGGGAAATCCATGACAGGAGCTTAAAAAAATCTCAATCACCCTAGAAAAAGATAACTTGAATACAACACCTATCCTTTTCCCAAGACAACTTAAGAACATTTGTTCAATAACATACCACTACTTGGTTTTACGCATAATCCAGGCAAATCCAATAAGGTTAATAATGCATATCTCACATTTAATTACATTAATGCCCATGTAATAATTTGAGATGATTGTTTTCAGTCTACAATTGTTAATTAGTTGATTCAACATTAGACATTTCTTTCAGTACTGGTTTTGTCCCTGTCTGCCAGGGGCAAAGAAAGATGAAAAGATAATTTATCCTATGTTGCAAAAAGAGAACTCAAAATATTTTCCATGTTGCTGCATGGAAGATACTTTGTATCTTCTCTTCTTGTATCAGCAATATTAATTCATAAAAACATTTCCATTTAGGTAACTAGGTATCTTAATTTTTTAGAAGTACAACAAAAATTAGGCACGAGCTAGACAAGGTGTAATAAAACTTCCTTACCTACAAATTGGAAACATTGTGATGTCAAGTTTCTATAACAGTTATAGATGTCTCTCAACTTTCAGTCATTCCTAGTATATTAAAGACTAAAATTTTCAATTATGTCAAATACTATTACATGCATTTTTCTATATATTAAATCCAAGTCCAGGAAATGAATTCTTAAATGGGGAACACTTTGTAAATCACACAATGTTACTACAGGTGTTGAAAGAAAACAGCAAACTACCACAGGATACATTCAACTGAATGTGGAAAACAGAGAAGGACAAAGTAAAAATGAGCATCGCAAAACTTCTGCATGTTTCTAGAAAACAAAATATTCCTGCTATCATTGATTATACATTTTCTCTCCAGATATCTAATTTTTACTCAAGTACATTTGCTCAATAGTAGCACTGAATGACACTCACCCAGAATGCTGTCATTTTGAATCAAAGAATCATTCTTCTCATTCCTGCTAATTTTAAATATAAGTTTGCAGACATTAAGAAGATTCTTTCTACTCACTTTAAGCTGCAGAGAAAGAAACACATCTCTATTGCAGAAGGAAATAAAGACATGCTGTATTTAAAAAAAATAAACCACAAACATCTATTTTTAAAGTGCAGCAAGAGTATTTTTAAACATGAAGAAAAGTTCTAAAGAAATCAACTTTGAAAAACTTAGACCACATATTTGCTAACTGTGGTATCTAATTAACTCAATTATAGTAAATACAATATAAATGATCTTTAGAATAAACATTTTAATGACAGATCTTGGCGACTGTGAACAGTGTGGAATAAACATAGAAGTGCAGATATCTCTTCGATATATTGATTTCCTTTCTTCTGAGTATATACCTAGCAGTGGGGTTGCCAGATCATACAGCAGCTCTATTTTTAGTTTCTTGAGGAACCTCCAATCTGTTCTCCTTACTTATTTCTTACTTCATAAAGTCTCTCTCTCTTTTCTTTTTTTCAGAGACAGGGTCTTGCTCTTTCACCCAGGCTGGAGTGCTGGATGCCGCCATCACAGCTCACTGCTGCCTTGACCTCGTGGGCTCAATCAATCCTCTTGCCTCTGCCGCCAGAGCAGCTGGGACTACAGGCATGTGCCACCGTGCCTGGCTAATTTTTTCAACTTTTTTTGGTAGAGATGTTGCCCAGGCTGGTCTCAAACTAGCAGGTCAAACAATCCTCTCACCTCAGCCTCCCAGTGTTGAGATTACAAGTGTGAGCTAACACACCCAGCCAAGTCTCATATTTATATGTGTGATTATTAGTTACTTTTAAAGGAGTATATGAGGAAGAAAGGGGTGCAGTATACTGCTAATACATTTAATTAGAGTAATTGCACTAAAACACAAAAGTAGAGAAAGATGAATACCAAAATTTCACATTAATTTAGAAAAGAATACATAGTAGAGACGAAGGAAAGAAAAGAAAGGGGGAAGCTTTTGGTTTTATCATTTGTATAAAAGAAAACTTAATACTGTTTAATTTGATAATACACACATATTTCTTTTTAAGGTCTATTTCTGGAATGCTTTGAGATAATCACAAGTAACATCTAAATTTGAAAATTACCTTCTAGGCTGGATGCAGTGGTTCACGTCTGTAATTCTGGCACTCTGGGAGGCTGAGGCAAGTGGATCACGAGGTCAGGAGTTCGAGACCAGCCTGACCAATATGGTGAAACCCCATCTCTACTAAAACTACAAAAATTAGCCGGGTGTGGTGGCACGCGCCTGTAATCCCAGCTACTCAGGAGGCTGAGGTAGGAGAATCACTTGAAACCGGGAGGCGGAGGTTGCAGTAAGCCGAGATCGCACCACTGCACACCAGCCTGGGTGACAGAGCGAGAATCCGTCTCAGAAAAAAAAAAAAAGAAAGAAAAAAGAAAAGAAAATTGTCTTCTAAATCATACAAAAAGATCTAAGTAAACTAAACACAGGGTGATAAGGAAATATAGTTGGTTTTTTTTTAAAAAAAAAAAAAAAGCAAAGTATAGGATGACTGACTGAACCAAATGGTCTAAATTAGCTGTGTATTTAAAGTAGTAAAAAAGAAAAATAAAAAACACCCTAAATATCCAATATTAGGGAATAGTTTAATAAACTGTGGGACATCAATACTATTCACATTAAGCAGTCACAAAAAAGCGTAACTGTGAACACTATGTTTACAGAGGGAAACATTTATAACCTACTGTTAGATGGAAATACTATGTGCCCTCATTGCAAAGGTGTAAAAATGTGTTTGTAGGAATAAAGTCATCTGAACAAAAAATTATTTCTGTGTGAAAAGGATGACATATAGGTGATCAGTTTATTATTAAAAACTATCTTTTAAGTTATTTTATTTATTTTTTGAGACGGAGTTTCGCTCTTCTCCCCAGCTTAGTGTGCAATGGCATGATCTTGGCTCACTGCAACCTCCGGTTCCCGGGCTCAAGTGATTCTCCTGCCCCAGCCTCCCAAGGGGCTGGGATTACAGGCACGTGCCACCATGCCCGGCTAATTTTTGTATTTTTAGTAAAGATGGGGTTTTGCCACGTGGGCCAGGCTGGTCTCGAACTCCTGACCTCAAGTGATCCACCCACCTTGGCCTCCCAAAGTGCTGGGATTACAGGCGTGAGCCACCACGCCCAGCCTAAAGTTATTTTTAATAATATTTATTAATGAGTTTTCAGTTACTTAAAAAAACATAATGGAATCTGTCAGGCATATTTGTTAAGTATTTGTTCTGTGTTTGATCCACAAATATTTACTGGGCACCTGATGTGTACCAGGCACTGTGCTGCTCACTCAGAAGACACCAAGATGGCCATGGTCAGCCCCCAGCTGGAGCGGCCCCAGGAGGCGAGCACTGCCTGTGGTACAGCTTCTGCATGCCCTCCTGCAAGAGGCCACTTACAAAAGTTATTCCAGAGCAACCCTGCAAATTCGGTGTTGTCATTCCCATTTTGCACTTGAGGAGTGCGTGCCTCAGAGAGGTCACAGAACCACCTCGGCATCACCTGGACATGCATTAGGAATGCAGAGTCTCAGGCCCCACCCGGCAGTACCGCCTCAGAATCTGCATTTTACAGGACCCCCAGGGGATGCATGTGCACACTGAGGTCTGGGAAACACTGTTATGGAAGCTTCAGAAACTGTAACACATGGCAGAATGGAGATTCCTTCCGTTCCCAGGAGGAAAATAGGAAATGGAAACCTTAATACATGTTTAATGATTAGGTATTTAAAATAACATTGTTTAAAACCCCCAGAAAATAAGAGGGCTTAAGAAAACAGAAGAACATTTCTATATTGATGGAAATATATATTATTCCTAATATTTGGGAATATATTTGAATCGGCTGACTATCTTCTACTAGACTGTGAGTCCTTGAGGTCAAAACCACCATTTATTACTCTTTCTATATGTAATATGTAGGATGAGTTCCGTACTTAATAAAACTTCATGGAAAAAAATGAATAAAACTCACTTTCCTTTCCCCCACCAAATCTTACATTTTTAGTAAAAAGTGGCAAACGAAAACAAAACAAAACAAAAAAACCCTTGTATCAGAGTTTTCATTAAAACAACAAGAAAAAATAAAAAAGAAAACAAAGAAAAGAAAAAAGACAACCACAATTTCCAGGCCTGCTGTAATGTCAATTTACACTCAGAGCAAATTTGTATGGCTTCTCCATTGGTAACTGTAAAATTACGACTTTAAGACATAAAAAGATAATAAAATCTTACATTTATGCAAGGGGTGTAGACTATCCTATTTTTAAAATTCCCTGTTACTCTCCCTTTCCTTTGCTCTGCTTTATTTTTCTCCCTTAGTTCTCATTATCTCCTTTGGTATCTGCTGTGTTTGCTGTCTGTCTGCCCTGCTACAGTGGCAACCCCAGAGGCAGGAGCTAGTTCATTCACTTGTATTCCCAGTGTCAGGAAGAGTCTCTGGCCAGGTGCGTGACCCACACCTGTAATCCCAGCACTTTGGGAGGCCAAAGTGGGAGAACTGCTTGAGGCTAGGAGTCTGAGACTAGCCTGGGCATCATAGCGAGACCC